CTTGTTCACTTGTCTTTATTTCAATGAAAAAATATCCATTTATCTAGAATACGAGTCGAGATGTTTGCCAATGAAGGAGGTGGGGTCACCTGTTTTCAGAGGTAAAATTAGTGAGAAAATGGAAATCAAAGATTCATTATTTCCTTAGCTTAAGAGTCCGTGGTAACTGAAAATTTAAATTTTTGTGCCTTTAATCAACGTTTTTAAGAAAAATTTACACATAAATTAGTTCTTTAATGGGCATGAAATGTGTTGAGCAAAAAAACAAAAATTTGATAAAAACTCACAAACCTGCGGAAAAAAGCAAGTTTCTTCAGTTTGATTATTTTGACGAGAGCCTGATTCCACCACGCTGGCTCACATAGGAATAAGAACATTCACTGCCTTGCTCGTCTATTTATCTATCTGTCTACCCTGATGACATAAACTTCACACGACAAGAGAATGTCTTTGCGTTGAGATTTAATTAGATTTAGCAGTGAGCGCCGTTGGAAAAAAAACAAAACCAGGGTGGCTCCTCTCTTTATTATTATTGGTTTGTTTTGTAGAATTGTGTATTCATCTATTTTTAGTAAGCAGTAATCCATGCATGAACAGACTTGCCAACTCTGGGAAATTGAAAGAAAAGGGGGAACCTATTGTTCAGCCTTAGACTGATGCCTTGACTGCACATAATGAGATTTAAGAAAGATTTTAGTTGTCCACTTGATGACTAAGCTTCTGTCTAAGAACAAATACAAAATGTGAGGTAGCGTGGTGGAATCAGGCTCTCATCAAAATAATCAAAGGAAGAAACTTCCATTTTTCCGCATGTTTGTGAATTTTTATCAAAATTTTGTTTTTGGACTCAACACCTTTCATTCCCATTAAAGAACTCATTTCTGTGATGATTTTTTTTGAAAAGCTTTGATTAAAGGTACAAAAATGTAAATTTTCAGTTTCAATGGACTCTTAAGCTAAGGAAATAAATAATATTTGGTGGCTATTTTACCTCTGAAAACAGGTGACCCCCACCTCCTTCCTTCGCATATATCTCAACTTGTACTCAAGATAAATGGATATTTTTTTCATCCAAATAAAAACAAATGAACAAGCTTTAAGATGATACGAATAACTCCACTTGCCCAAAAATTGACGAGAGCCTGATTCCACCATGCTGCCTCACAAAAATGAAAACATGTAACTGATAAATCGTAGACTCACATTGTAAAGATAATTCGAAAATAGAAGAAAGGGGAAATTCCCATAAAATTAGGGACCGTTGGCAGCTTGTCTCGTCTCCTTGTCAACGGAAACAGAGCCACTCTCTTTCCATTTGCTGCGTACGAAATTAAAACTCGATTGATGGTACGTATTGACGCAAGTAGGCTACTGTCAGCAAAGACAAAACGTTAAAAAGGGGGCGGGGAAGT